CGGTGAGCGGGGCGCACGCGGGGTGAGCCGGGTCCCCGCGCCCCAGCGCCCGGGGACTTTCCGTGGTGGCAGCACTTCGCGGTTCCAGGCCGGCCGGGGACACACGTCAGGGACCCGGGGGCGACCTCCCTTCCGGTCTTCCAAGCCCACTCTTCACTTAGCGGGGGCCGGTCCTGGAAAAGGTTTGAAAATCCGTCCACGACATTTGCCTGACTTGGACCCAGCTCCGAAGGCGCGGGGCGCCTTCCCCACAGCCAGCAGCGACACGTGCCACCGCGGCGTGCCCTGTGCCACGGCTGCTGTCACTCGAGGTGCTGTCTGGAAAATGAAGCGGATCTGGGCTCGTCTCCACAGTCTCCCTCCCCTCCCCTCTCGTCCCGGCGGGCGCGGAGCGCTGGCCCAGGGCGATGGAAATTACATGTTGCCAAAATGTATTTATTGATGGAGCAACAGTAATGAGATACATACTTTTCTTCTTGTATTTTCTAAATTATTGAAAGTAAACCATGTTCTTGTTTTTTCTTTTACATTGAACTGTACAGATTATTTCAAATCCTGATTATTTTGAACTGATTGCAGTGACGCCAAGAAAGCCTTATAGTGAATCACTGTCAAAATTAAGTCTGTGAATGATGATGATAATAATGAGAATCATACTTTTGGATTAACGTGTATATTATTGAACAGTACGGTACAGTCGGATTTTATAGAAAGTTTACTTTCACAAAGAAACAGGAAGTTTCATTTCTAATCGTAGCCTTCCAAGCTTTTGATTAACTCGACAGTTTAAAAATGGTAGTGGATGATATTTAGAATTTTCATAATGAAAGGTATAGTTTAGGAGGATTTCCTTTTGACTGAGACTCTAATTATAATCTTACATTTTCTAAATTCCAATTTATGTTTGGGAAAGAGACCCTCAAAAGAAATTTCTTTTTAAAACAATGCTGTTATATATAAAAAAAATAGATAGATAGATGATAGATAATTTTAAAAACTTGTTTCCTCTCTGCCGGAATAGTTTTTATTATTGCTAATTAATAGTTACTGCACGTCGATAGTACTTGAACTATGGTGAGGAAGAAGGATGTTTTTGATCAATGAGTACTGACGACTCTTTAATATGTTAGGGTACATTGAAGCTCATCTTCAGAACTTAAAACACCCGTCTTAGGAAAGCCATTGACAAGGAGTGAGTTCATAGTTCCACTAAGAATTGCAGGGCCATCCCCTGCTCTTAGAAGCAATGACAATCTGGGGGCCACACCTGCCAGCGGATCAGCTGGCAAAAAAGCCCACCGGAAGTGTGGTGTCCTGAGGGGCCAAGTCTGTTGCTCACATCCTGGCAAAAGCAGTGAGTGGACAGACAAAGGCCTTGGAGGGGGCTGCCACCTCACAAAATATGTGGAACCGCTTCCACGAACTGCTGAGAAGTTTTTGGTTTGGTTTAGGGAACGTGACAATCACTGAAACTGCATATCACTATGGATAGTCAAAAGTTCTTCGATCAGTGGAACGCCATATATCTCTACTTAAGAACTGAGTTTAAACGGGTTTAAAGCTGGATGTTTTAGAAAATTTAAAGAGGGGGGCCTCTTAAGAGGCAGGGAACTGGATCTACCACAATGGTTAATATGTAATATTGAGTGTTTGATGTAAAGTGGTGTCATTTATATTTTACTTTGGTTCGCCTCTGCTTTTAAAAATCGTCCTGGTTAGAAAGAACTGGAAATAGGAGCGTAAAGGAATTAGGAGAAAGAAACCAGTTCCTGATTGGAAAACGTCAACTACATGTTGTGACCTGCACTGCGTGTTTGAAATCTGATTCTCTGTAGGCTAGGTCATACTTGGTGGCAGTGAAACAAAACTTTTTTCACATAAAAAAAATGGACTAGATTGTAGACAGAACGAGTACTAGAAAGGTAAATGAGAATATGTAATAAGTAAGGAAATGTAATGCTTTTTTCTGTAACGAGTTGTAAGCAAGGACTCGTGCTTTGAAATCCAAAGTGTCAGATTCACAGAACAACTTGGACGTGTGCGCGTGGTGAGGTATCCACGCCGTGACTTTTCGTACCTCGGCATATGTGAAGAAGAAATGTGTGCTTTCTCCTACACAGAGATGAAGAGTAAAACGGGCCATGAGATTTAGAGCTCAAAGCCGTTGCCAATTGCGATGTGTTTGCATTTCCTGAAATTTCATTCTAAATCTTACCTTTTAAAAACGCTCGTTGCCGTTTATCTCATTAATCTTCGGTTTCTCTTCCATCTCAAGCACAATGCGCTGCTCTCGACAAGTATTTGTTGGGTGAAATAACTTCAGTTCTTTGCTTTTGGTCCCGTGCATTCCAGGTCCCATTCACTGGAAGGAGTTTTTCCCTATTGCTGACGGGGATCGGCAGTCTCCGATTGAGATTAAAACCGAGGAAGCGAGGTACGACTCTTCCCTCCAGCCTCTCAGCATCCAGTACGACCCGCGCTCGGCCAGAATCATCAGCAACAATGGCCATTCCTTCAGCGTCGACTTCGACGACACGGAGGACAAATCGGGTTGGTGTCCTTCCTACTTTTTCTTTTTTTTTCTGGCATGGGGTGAGGGGCTTGGAGGGTCGAGTGGCACTTTCTAGTCTCTGATGTTTGAAACGCCTATGCGTTGTATGTTTTCGATAGTCCTTTGCTGGAACTCATAATGAAGGTTTTTTTGGAGGGTTACTTTATGGGATAGTGTCTTTCAGGCTGTCAATAAATAACGGAACCAGCGAATCAAACTTTAGTACCATTTATATATAATAAACTAAATGAAATAGAAAAGAGTATTTCCTTCAAATGAGCATTTAATCCTTCTTCAAGCGTACCTACAGTCCGATTTAATATATGCTATCAAGTTTAAAAGTAAAATGAGAAAGAAGATTAGACAGAATCATATTTTAAGCCTTCTGAAATTTTTAAAAAAATTTTGCCTAATATTAGGATGATGCCGTATTTGTTCTATTAATGATAAAGATGGTTAAAATTTAAAAGCCCCTAATTGGAAGAAAGTTTTCACTTATTCATTAAGCTCAGCTTTAGTCTAGTAATAATTTCCCGTATTTATATAAGGCTATGATTTTAGCAAAAGTTATAAGCCCGTAAAATTTCTTCCTCATATTTATCAAATTTATCAAAGCGATACATATTATTCATAGCATTGTGAACAACGTACAAAGAAAGATTCTGACATGGTATTTTCAACCTTTCGGCGGGGGAGGGATCCCCTTATTACGCCCATTCTGTTGCCTTGGCTCTGCGTGCTCCGTTTTGCGAGTCCGCGTTGATAGATGTGGGTGAAGTCACGGGCGGGCGAGGCTGTGGCCCAAGGCTTCCGAGTGTGAGGTTTACAACCCCTTAAGTCACAGCGGGATGCTGTTTCCAACGTCTCGAATGCAAAAACTGAGGCTTACGCTCCTAGTTCTAGAATAAGAGGTCACTATCCTTCCCCTCGGCCTTCAGTGTTTTCCTTGCAATGTGGTACCCTGAGTCATAACCAGTTCCTACCCGGATGTGCCGGGGACAGGCCAGGTGTCCCGTCTCCTCCCTCTGCCTGTGTCTCTCTCTCGTCATTGCAGACTTGGCGTCGAGCAGGGTCATGAGCCCACAGTAAGCGCTTGAGGCTTGTGGAATGAATGAGTAACCCAGTGCGCCTACGAGGAGCCAGGCTTCGGGAAGCTTCTCCTGGCCCTGCGCCTGCGTGATTTACTCCGCGTCTTCAGTCTCCCCCAGGGCAGCTTTGTCCGCTTTGCTTCCTGTTCTCTGTTCACTCACCGCTCACCGCTCCTCGGAATAGGCTCTGTAGCCATTCCGGGTCCCTTCGGGAGTGACCCTGTGCCCCGAAGTTTGTGGAGGAGTGCTTCTCCAGGCGAGGTCTCTTTCTCTTACGTTAGCATGTGTATTGATCCAGGCACCGTCCTAGGTGCTGGGGACACAAGGGAACAAGCTAGATCTGCCTTAAAAGGGTTTGTGTCTTCGCGGGATGGACAGTGAGTGCCTGAACAGACAAACGTGGTGATTTTTAAATCAATTTCTTTTCTCAGTTTGTCGCCAGCCTTGCTTATTATTAAGAGCAGCTGACTACAGTGTCGTTTTGGCAAATGAGCAGGGTTAGCCAATCACTAGTAATGTCACGGATCAAATGTAATAGAGTGACATATCTTTCTACTGTCACAGCGCTGCCGGGCTTTGCGGCACATGGAGGGTGACATACACCCTTTCGCTAACATATCACACTGTCCCAGCTCTGTGGCATTTATCTCTGGTTTCTTAACCTCTGTAGACCTCGTCTGTGAGTGCATTATTTGGAATCAATTTTTATATAATTCCGAATAAACGGACTCTCTATGCATGTCAAGTGCGGCTTATTGAGCTCATTTTGGGAGCTAAGGTGGGGACGGTGACATCTGTTTACTCGACGAGGCCGGAAGATAAAGTGAATGACCGGACACTTGAGAACTCGAAACATTTCTCAGTAAAAAGGATTTTGCCACCCCTGTTCATTTTATACCATAATTGACTGTGATTTTCTCTCAAAGTCAGTGAGTGCTCTGTTGACCTTGACATTCTGGCGCACTCTCCCACCCTGTGGAGAGTCCTCGCAGTCAGAGGTTTGCGGCCCGTGGTCCCGGGTGGGGTATTTCAGTGGAAACACCCAGATGTGGAGCCAGCGTGTGACGTGCAAGGGGACACTGGCCGCTGAACGAGGGGGGCGGGGACTGTGCTAGGGGGCGGGGACTGTGCTAAAGATGCCTTGGGGGACGGGCACGCGTGTCACTGGGCGTTGGGGCCGGGGTGACATGTGGCGCGCGGACGCCTCTGCTGACGCCTGGCTGTGTTGCTGTCTAGTTCTGCGAGGCGGCCCGCTCGCCGGGACCTACAGGCTGCGACAGTTCCACCTGCACTGGGGCCGCAGCGACGACCATGGCTCCGAGCACCGGGTGGACGGCGTGTGCTTCGCCGCGGAGGTGAGCCCCTGGCCCAGCTCTCCCCTCTGCCTGCAGGCCAGGGACACGGACGCCCCCTGCCTCGGCCCACGCAGGTCCCGCTATGCGAAGCTGCTCTGCTCCATCAGCGTTCGAGCTGATCGTCCCCAAGGGGGCTGGCGAGGCGGCCGGGCTGCTTCCCGGAGCGGCTGAGGGGCTGCGCCCTGTTATGAAGGGCAGCGAACGGGGGGCTTGGAGACGGGGTGACGGGTGCAGCCGGAAGCAGCGGCCCTGAGCTCTTTTCTCTTGTTCTCTGGGCACTTACTGCTTCTCCTTCCGGAAGGACCGCTGGCAG